AACACTCACACTCCAGGACTTTTGCACCGGTCACCTCCCTGTCTGGAACATTCTTTCCACAGATACCCACGTGGCTCAACCCCAGCTCCCCCTCCCCGCGAGATCCTCCCTGACCACGCCCTCTGACATTGCCCCAACTTGTGTCTCTTCCATCCCCTTAACACTGTGCTATTTGTCTTCTAGCGCCGAACCCCTCTCTGACATTACGTGCTGACAGGCTCATCCTTCCCTCCGCTGGAAAAAGACGTGGCGCGTTTGGTCCCAGCTGTTTCCCCGTGCCTAGCACGGCCGGAACTTAACCAGTATGTGCTGAGGGAATGAAGGAAAGACTGCACACCTGGCTCGGCCCTCTGGACTGAACCTGGGCGCTTCTGCTATGACTGAGTCGCATTAATGCTTCATTCAGACTGAGCAGGCCAGGCCTCGGCCACGTGGCCACACTTTCTGATGTGAATAAAATGGGATTGGCAAAACGAAATGAAAACGTGCCAAGGTTTTTAGACACTTGTTTCCAGAAATTAATGGAACACTCCAGAGCTCTGATATGGAGCGTCCAGATTGGTAGACGTTTGTTGTGTGGGTTTGTTTCTTCAGAAGCCGTGGGGAGCATTGCAGTCCTTGAGCACACGGTTGTGTTTGTGGTTTTGGCAACATCAGTGAATTCCACAGTGAGCAACTGCATTTGAGCAAGTTTTATCAGCAAGCAAAATTTTCAGTCACTAAGGTCCAAACTCATGAAGAAGGGACTTAAACTTGCTGAATGTAAAGACTGAAACTGAAGCCACGTAGCTTTAATGATTGCCAGTGCAACAGCGGTGGTTTAAAGGCTGGCACTGCAGGTGCTCTGCATATTCTGATTTTGTTAACATAAAAAATTGGATTGCAGAAAACACTCACAGGTGGCAGGACAGGGCTGAATAACATCCCTGCAAATTCATGTCTTTCCCAGAGCCTCAGAACGTGACCTCAATTGGAAATAGAACTTTTGTGATGTATTTAGTTAGGAAGACATTTTATGGGATAGGGTGAGCCCTAAATCCAATGACTGGTGTCTTTCTGAGAGAAAAGAAGACAGAAAAACAGCCATGGTGAGAACCCCACTCGATGATGGAGGCAGCGATGGGAGCAATGCTCCCAAAAGCCACGGGCTCTGAAGCCACTGGCACCCCGAGGCCGGGAGACAGGCTCGGAGCAGACTCTCCCCCAGCCTCTGGAGGAACCAGCACCACTGACACCTTGATTTTGAACTTCCAGCCTCCAGTGCTGTGGGAGAAACATTTCTGTTGCTTTAAGCTACTTGGTCCATGGTCTTTTCTTATAGCAGTACCAGCAAAGCAGTGCTGAGGTCCCACTGTCCCAGAAGAGCTTCCGTGACAGGCAGGACAGCCGAGTTCATTTAAAGGCTGAACTGCAGATGCTGTGCGCATTCCGATTCTATTAAAATCAAAAGTGTGCACAGCAGGGTCCTGGCTGGGACCTTCTGCATTCAGCCCCACCCACCCCACAGTGCAGCTGCCGAGGTCTCTCAGGCGGAGTAGGGGAGGGAGATGGCCTGGCCCTGGCTCTCTGGGGCTGACCATGTCCACCCAGGGTCCAGGCCGGCCCCCGGGGACACCACAGGCCATGGTCATGGGTCAGGTCTGCATCACACAGCTAAGGGTGTCAAGACCCTGTGGACCAGAGGTCCGTGAGGTGGGCGCCTGCATTTCCCATTGGCAGGAAGGGAGGCTGGCGCTCCACCAGGACCCCGCGTGACTCCCCTAGTTTCCTCCTGTGGGTCTGGGTGGGCTCCTGGCCTGTCCTCTCATCTCCACCCTCTGCTTCTTCCCAGGAAGAGGAGTCCTGCCAACTTCCACTCCCAAGAAGCCAGAGCAGCTTCCAGAGCCTCGGGCTGGGCTTAGGATCTCAGAAGCCCCGAGCATTCTGGTTGCAGAATTTTCTACCAATGCAATGAATCATCTGTCTGTTTGCAGAGTGGCTTTGCCGTCGACGATGACGGCATGGGCCCTTCCAGGGCCTTGTTGCACCTGCGCTGATCTCATCGCACCACACGCATCACGGTGGGCTCCTGCACGGGGCGGTGTGGCCTGAGGGGCGGGGAGAAGGCTGGGCGAGACGGAGCCACACAGTACCCCATGAAGAGTTCCGTTCTGTGCGGGAGACGGGAAGACATGGCTCAGGGGACAGAGGCTGGGGAGGGTAGGGGACTGAGGGTGGGATGGAGAAGACCCCCGGGTGATGTGACTGGAGCTCCAGGCCACCAGGCGGAGGGGCCGTTTAGGTCAGCGATGCACTGAGGATCCACTCAGCCTTCCCGGGAGTCTCCCCTTTCCTCCACACGAGGGTCTCCCCTGCTCCATCTCTCCCTCACACACTCCCTTCCCAGGCCTGGGTCCCCTTGGTGCCCCTGCCTGTCCACTTTATCCAGGATGCAAACAAGTCTAGGGTCCCTGTCTCTCGTGTCCCCACCAGAGGGGCCTCCTCTTCCTCCGCTGCCCCCAGCCTTGCCTGGCTTCTGCCCTTTCTGGGCCTCTGCTTTTGGAGAGGCCTGGGGGTCCTGGACAGCCCTGCTGCTCCCACCTGTCCAGCTGTGCATTAGGCAGCCCCTTCCCAGGCGGAGCCAGTCCCAGGGTGGTGGCACTGGCTCGGCTCAGCCTCCTCTTCCCTGGGAGCTCCTCTGCTGTGCCCCTCGTCCTGTGCCTCCCTGTGGTGGCAGACGGCCAACTGTCCTGTCTTTGCCTGCTCCCACCTCTCCCTCTGTCTCTGTCTCCCTGTCTATCTCTGTCTTTGCCTTTTGTCCTCCCATCTCACTGTGTCTCCGTTTCTCCCTCCCTCTCCCTCTCTCTCTCGCTGACTCCGTCCTTGTGTTTTTGTCTCTGTGACCTCTGATCCTCCCGTCTGACTCTCAGCCACAGGGAGCCACAGCTGGCCTTGAGGACGCCCTTGGCTGGAAAGGCCAAGCCCAGCCATCTGAGGCCAGCCTCTGACAGAGGCCAAGACACCCACTGTCCAGGCTGCGGAGATGAGAGGGTTTCCCCAACTGCCGCCCCTCCCTGCTCCCCAGGGCTGCCTTTGGGCCTGAAGGGCGGGGGGCACTTACGACTTTCCCCGGGCAGCAGGAGGCTGGCCAAGAAGGCACTGAGCAGGACGAGGTGCAGTGGGCGCCCCATGGTGTGGCCGATACCGTGTGCCTGTCCTCACAGGGACAGGCTGCCGGAGCAAAGTCCACGCCCCGGCCGGGATGGCTGTTGTGTGGCTGCTTGTCACTTGGCTTAGGCCCCCTGATTGGAGCCGAGGCCCGCTGGCGACGCAGGGGAATGACCACGCTGGGAACACGGCCACTCTGGCCCCACCTTCCCCAGGCAGAGCTGGGCAGCCGGAGAGGCCCCACAGAACCTCATCCTCATCGGTCACCAGGTCCGCGGGCGCGGGGACTTTCTGTTCTAAGAATAAAAACATCATTTCATGCTTGTTTTGTAGTTTCCAGATGTTTACATCTAGCTGTCAGTCCTCACAATCACATAAAAATATTATTTTTCCAGAACAGAAAACTACGTCTCGAGAGCACAGAAGCCGGAGCCCGGGGCCACCGGCAGTGAGTGTGGGGTCTGAGCCCAGGACTTCTGCCCCAAGGCCCTGCTTGCTTCTGGGCGGGCCCTTCCGCTCATGGCCATTCTCTGGGTGGTGTCAGGTGGTCTGATGTCACGGGGGGGCTTGGCATCTGCACCACGGTCTCCCACAGGCCAGGCTGGTACCGCCCCACCCACCCCCAAACCTTCTGTGTCCACATGGTCCCAACATGTACTTCTGTGGGGAGTGGCCCTCCCCTGACCATCTGGAGGGACAGGCTCTGTCTGAAACCCCTCCTGACCTGCCCACCACTGGCCACACTGTTCCGAGGCTGAGAGGGCTTCTGGGCTCATTCTCCAGCACAGAAACCTCCTGTCACCAGGTCCCTGAGCGTCTCCGCTCAATGGCTGTGGGAGTCACCGGGAGGTGCAGCCAGGATTTTTGCTTCTGGGGTCCCTGGAATAAATGGTCTAAAACTTGGCCAGTGTGGCAATCACTACCTGCTATGCCGTAGTGGCCGGAGCAACGCCCCTAAAACCCACAGTGCTGACCACTGCCTCACGGTGTGTCTGCCTTGATGTGTTGCCCGTCTCGCAGCCACCTGCACCTGGGCCTGGTGTGCGCACATTGTGCGTCATTGTGCCTGGCACACAGGAGGTGCTCACTGGGCCCCACCCGACTACACAAACTGATGGCACTGGGTGCCAACGCCAGGGTGACCTCCCACGGTGGGCACCACGCACAGCCCAGTCCTCTGAGAGGGGCCTTCCTGGTGGCACCAGATGTCTGACTCCTGCCTCTCCTGGTCTCCACACTCCGACATCACCTCTAGGCACGTTTGTATGGAGAGACCAATGTGGTGTGTGCACCAGCAGCAGGATGCTCATGGCAGACATGCAGTCTTTGTCATCAACACTGGGTGGTGATGCTGGCTTTGGAGGCCCGAGCCTGCCGCCTCGTCCCACCCTGTCGCAGGCCCATGGCCAGTGGCCTCCCTGTATTCTATCTCGCCACTCACAGAAAGCTGGAGCTGAGCCATGGCAGGTGGCACGTCCCATAAGAAATGTGGCCTTCGAGGGTGCCCAGGCCCTTCAGCAAAGTTTCTGGACAGTCCTGGGCCCCCTCCTTCAGCGGCACCGTGAGGTGGGTGCCTGCATTTCCCATGGGCAGGAAGGGAGGCTGGCACCCCACCAGGACCCCGCATGACTCCCCAGTCACTCGGACAAAAGAGAAAGCAGAGCCAGCTCTGACCTGATCAGGGCCCGCCACTGGCCCCCGTCCCTGTGTGGGGGCATTAGGAACTGGGGTCTGGCCAGGGTCCCAGCATCTTCGGCAGAGGTCCTGACACTAATCCTGCTGGGCTTGGCGGGTCAGCTGGTCTGTCTGGCTGGACATCTCTGTCACGGCCACTCCATGGACACTAACGTGGGTGTGTTCCCATAAAACTTTATTTACAAGAGCAGGGTGGCTTGGAAGCAGCCCTCGGCTGTAGTTCACGGACCCTGTCTGCTCTAAATTAGATGTTGCCTGAGTGCCCCTGAGGTGGGTTGCTGGTGCCTGTCTTGCTGCTGTGAGCGCCACTGGTACCCAGGACGGCCCTGCAGGGATGGCATTGAGTTCGCTCTCTGAGCCATGCTTGCCGGAGTCTGAGTGCAGGCAGTGTCTGTCACCTCCCCATTTCTCTGCTCGTGTTTCTCATTCTTCCCCCACCACCCTGGGGACTCAGCAAGAGTGCAGCTTGCCAGGTCCTCCCACTGCAGCCAGGGCCTGGGAACCTGCATTTAGTGGTATGTCCCTGATTCTCGAGCAGGTGCTCCCAGGGTCTCTGCGAAATATCATTGACAAGGGCTGTGGCAGGGAGAGAACATCCAATTCCACAGGGTCCTGGGAGCTACAGCCTCAAACATCTATCAAAGAGCTTTTGTTTTTAAAAAGAACAGCTGCCATGTGAGGGTTCATTTCAGTGATGCTGAAAACTGTGAAAGAAAAAAGCATCTCAGAGGATGAGCACTGGGGGCTCTGAAAATGAATCACAGGCTACACGGTGGGTGGCAGGCCCCACAGGCGTGCGGAGGAGATGCAGCCATTTATTGTGAAGTTGGGAAGCCGGTGGGGAACGGCCTGTGCAGCCCGGCACATTTGGGGGAGAGTTTGGGGCATTTGCCAACATGCATGGTGATGCTTCTGAATTGTCTGAAACGAAGATGATAATGGATAAGAACGAGAAAAGTGAGAGCTAAACAACCGCCTTTGGAGGACAGCACACATGGAGTCAGCATCGGTGTGCGTGCATCCGTGTGTGCATATCTGTGTGTGTACATTGGTGTGTGTGCACTCATCCATGTGTGTGCATATCTGTGTGCATCTGTGTGTGTGCATCTCTCTGCATCCGTGTGTGTGCATTAGTGTGTGTGTGCATTGGTGTGGTGTGCACGCATCTGTGTGTGCACATCTGTGTATATGCATCCGTGTATGTGCATATCTCTGTGTGTGTCAGTGTGTTTGCATATCTCTGTGTGACCTTCTGTGTGTGCATCCATGTGTGTGCATATCTCTGTGTGTGTGCATTGGTGTGTGTGTATGCATCCACGTGTGTACATGCCTCTAGTGTCTCCAGCAATGAAGGCAGAACAGCAGCCTGAGGCCAGCAGATCACGGGCAGGTGGGCTTGGCTGAAGAGAGATAAGGAGGCTCAGCTGGGCTGTCTGCCTCCAGGACAGCCGCGGCATTCCCCTGCCCCTCTGTCCAGCGCCTGTCTGCCTCTGCATCTCATCTTTTCGATTCCTTCTCTGTGTCTCTATTAAGCTCTTTGAATCTTGGAGTCTCTTTGAGTCTCTCCATGTCCTCAGAATCTCTCCCTCAGTCTCTCTCTGTCTCTTTGTCTCTCTGTTTCTGTCTCTGTCTCCCTCCCCACCTCTCCCTCCCTCCCATGCCCTCCTCTACCCCATGAACTGCAGAAGAATCGATGGGATTTTGTGCCAGGACAGTTCTACACAGCCTTGGCTTTCTCTCCAGGGGGCAGGGCTGCTAGGCTAGGGAAATGGGGCTCGCAGGAGGATGCCTGGGCGTGGCTCCGAGTGCATGAGCTTTTGCAGCCACTCGATGTACTGGGAGACCCTGGTGTACACCCCGAAGTGGCCCACGGCCGCGCAGCCCTGGCCCCAGCTGACGATGCCTGTCAGGTACCACGTGCCCCGGTAGCGGGTGGCGTGTGGGCCTCCACTGTCCCCCTTGCAGGAGTCCCTGCTGCCGTCCGAGTAGCCGGCACAGAACATGTACTCCGTGATATTCGGGGAGGCTTCCGCCTTCCGTGACTGCTGCAGGCAGTCCTGGGTCATCAGCCGGGGCACGTTGAGGGCCATGAGCTCCAGGGCTGTGGCACCACGGTCCAGCAGCTGACCCCAGCCGCTGACCAACGAGAAGCGCACGAAGGCCAGCGTCCTCTCGGAGAACGTCCGTTCGGGCAGGCAGAGGGGCACCACATGGTCAGTGAGGACCACGGGCCGCTGCAGGCGGAGCAGCGCGATGTCGTGGTTGGTGGCGCCCAGGACATACGTGCTGGGGATGATGACCTGCGCCACCCGCCGGCTCTGCTCATCCCCTTCGTGCTCGCTGAGGTCGTGCTCGCCTGGAAGGAGGGAGCCTTGCTCAGGCCCATCCCACTACCTGCTGCCTCGCCCCCTGGTGCATGGGGACGGGCTGTGGCCATTTCTAGGTCTGCAGGGGCTGCAGTCTCCTTTTGGGGCGAGGGGGGCCTGCATCCAACCCCAAGGTGACCTGGCCAGCCTGCCGCAGGTGGCAGCCTGTGGCTCATGTGGGGACGTGTTAACTGGGGTGAATCTGGGGCCTGGGTGTTGAGGTGGGGAAGGGGTGCTGCGACCTGGCAGCTGGGGGGGCAGGGCGTGCCCTGATTCTCCACAGTTCTTCCCAGCCAAGTGCCCTCCTGGGAATGTTCATCTCACCTGTAAACCCAGTGAGCACAGTCCCTGCCACCCAGTGGTCCCACGAAGCCCTGGGAGTTGCATCCTCCTATGGGCTCTTGGCCAGGTGAGGCAGGATGGGCAGAACCCCCGTCTTTTACCATTTTATTTGGGCATGGGAAAGTGGCTGAGAGGACAGTGGCCACAGCAGTCATGCCTAGCACAGTTGCTCCCCTTTTGGAGATGTCTGTCTGTCTGTGGAAGTGACAGCACGAAGCCCAGAGCTGCGGCCCCTGAGACACTTGAGAGCTGTGGTCAGACAGGGGAGAGTGGCGCCTACTCAGCACCATCGTCAGACAGGAGAGCGGCGTGTAACCAGCACAGCAGTCAGATGGGAGAGCAGTACCCACCCAGCAACGTGGTCAGACAGAGGAGAGTGGTACCTACCCAGCACCGCGGTCACACAGGGGAGAGCGGCACCTACCCAGCACCGCGGTCAAGTTCCTCCAGCTCTTGATTTTGTCGAAACAGTGGGCCGCAGAGACCACCCAGATGGTGTTTATCAGGGTCCCTCCACACAGCTGAGCTCCATTCACCAACAACAGGACCTGGGCAGGGGGACAGGAGGCATGGAAGTCACATTACTATCATTGTTTCTCTGATGACTCGCCCTCCCGGGCACGCCAAGGGACCTCTGGCATTGCACAATTTGTTTCTGAAATCCTGGGGTCTTTGCAGATCCCTCCCAGGCAAAGCTGCTCAGACCTGGCTCTGGGAGGCTGTGCCCCTCTCTAGCCGAGACGTGCTCTTGGGCACAGCCCAACAATACAAACGTCGCTGTGAGATTTCACTGTTCACCTCACGGGATCTTCACATAGCTTTGATCCAATGCTCCTGATTTTGCAAAGATCAGGCAAAGATCCCACCTCAAAGAGTAACAGTGAGGACGACGTGACAACTCGGGAGGGGCATCTCGCAGGGTTCTCTGCACAGGGTAGACCCTCAGCGAGTGTCGTCTTCTTTTCTCCTTCCTTGCCCCACTGAAAGCATGGGGGTGCAGCGAGCTGGAGGTTCTAGGTGGGCTGACTTGGAGCCTGGTGGCCTTGGGGCTGACCTGCCCGTTTTCCCTTCCAGAGCTGTTGTTCAGCTCACATTCAAAAGGCTCCAAGACCCTCAGGGCTTGGAATCCTGAAGCCAAGGGAAGCCTTACCTGCCATGGACACTCCCCTTTGGGGCACACCCTGCCCCCGACAATTCGGCCTTGGGGTTTGCTGGCATTTCTTTTTTCCAGAATAGGTATTTTTCCACATGGATATTCAACTGTGTAAAACAAAAGTCAGAAAGATGCAGAAATTTGTGAAGGATGAACGAGCCACTAGGAAAGATTCAGAAACACCCATCCTCTGAGAGGCCTTGAGGCCGAGGCTATGGGAGGCCCCCAGGAGCAGGAGCTGCCAGGGCCCAGGGATGGTGGAAGGCAGGGCCTCCGCTAGGCCTGACTGGTGGGGCTGGGCCATGAGAAGCCCTTGCGGAAGTGGCTGGCTGAGGAGACAATGGTCAGGGCTGGTTTTGGAGGAGATGGAGGGCTTATGTCTTAATATTGCCCTCTGCTCACTTTTCAGGGGGAAAATGGGTTGCTTGACTTTAGTAAAAGGTGAATGAAATTCTACCTAAAGATGAATCAACGTCACAAACAACTCTGTTGTTTTGATCCCACGCTTAGTTTTGATCTGCTCCAATCAAGGTCTTGGGCCAGAAAGAAAACCTGACGAGGTGGCGGGCTGAGTCCCAGGCTGTGTGGCCAGGGTGGGCACGTCCACCTCTTCGAGACACAGTGGGCGTGGGGTGTCCCTGCCTTTGGAAGTGCAGCCCATTTGTTCCAGGCTGGTTTGGAGAAACATCCCATTTTCCCAGGAGCCTTTACAAGTTTTGGAATTCAGGGCGGGCAGCAGTCAGTACAGACACTGCCTGTGCCAAGGTAGATTCACGAACCCCAGCGGAGGTCCTGCGAGTGGGAGTTGGACGTGAGATAGAGCCTTGCTTGGCTCCCCTGGTCTGCCTAGCATGGGTAGGGGACCTGAGGCCATTCAGGGACTGCCCCCAGGGTGCCCATCCTAGTCACTGTCGCTCTGGCCTGTGCCACCCTTGGTGCCCAGATCCTGCCTCACGGTTGCTCAGCGCATGGTTGGTGCTCAGATGTGAAGCCACCCCCACCCGTCTTTTGTCCAGTAAGAGAATCCGTAGTGGGACAGGGACTGGTGTCATCTGGGACTGGGACATGAAGCCTGGTCACCTGTGGGCATGCAGGACACCCCGTCTGCCAGCAGCGAGTACCCCTCATGGCACCAACAGGAGCGCTTGGCACCCGCATGGTCACTGCAGTACTGCTCACAGCCGCCGTTCTCGTTCACGCAGATCAGCTGGTCGTCCTTGTCTGCGGACAGGAAGGGGATACCCTGAGAGGGGCCTCTTTGGGTCAGTGAGAGCCAGCCCCGGGGGAGGCCGTGCCCTAAGTCAGCAGCGGCGTTCTGCCTGGAAGGGGCACTGAGCTGTGGGCGACAGAGCCTGAGCTTGGCACCGCCTGCTCCGTGGACTGATCCAAAGGACAAGGCCTGGATCAGAGGAGTCACATGTCTGAACAGCCTTGCCAGTCGGGGGCAGCGCTGGCTGCAGTTGCATTTGGGGGGTGCCTGGCTGGTGGGCAGTGGCCTCCAGGGTGACCACTCTTCCGAGCAGCTGATGGGAAGCTGAGGGGAGCCTGGGGGAAAGTGAAAGTCCCGTAGGGATGGTAAAAGTGTCCAAGGGACTTCCAATCAGAGACTCAACTGACGAGAGGACCAGAGCGCTGAGACAGTTCTCCAAGCTGGCCTCATGCCACCGTGAGCCCGCCTAGGGACAGTCAGTCCCAGCACTGGCCATGGGCTCAGACAGAAGCAGCAGAACCGGCAGCCCGACTTTGATTGATGTGGGCAAGGGCAGTGGCCCTGAGTAAGTCCAGGACTCCGGCGGGAAGGCCTGCCCTGCAGGATGCACACCCGGGCTGCTGGGCACCAGGGCTGAGCAGAGATCCCCAGGCATTCTGGACCCAGATGACCGGCAGGAAGCCTCTCTCTTCAGCCTGCCCCACCTTGCTGAGCTCTCTTCTACTTAGAGAAGAAAGTGGCTGCTGTGCCGGAGAGCTCGTTCAGTGTGAGAATGTGGTCTTGGGTGGTCAAGGATGAGCTGCTGTTCCCAGGGAAAGGGTAGCCTTTGCCTTGGCTCCTGGGAAGTGATCGCTAACCTTTGGAAGGGTGACCACACATTTCCTGGGAAGTGATCACTAAGCCCTTGGAAGGGTGACCACACATTTCCTGGGAAGTGATCACTAAGCCCTTGGAAGGGTGACCACACATTTCCTGGGAAGTGATCGCTAAGCCCTTGGAAGGGTGACCACACATTTCCTGGGAAGTGATCGCTAAGCCCTTGGAAGGGTAACCACACATTTCCTGGGAAGTGATCGCTAAGCCCTGAGGGAATGTTGGTGTTTACCCGGACCTTGGGCCATGCTGGATGGTCTAGCTGACAATGTGGTGATGGCAGGGCCTCGGGCCACACTATTGGCTTGGCCTCTGGAGGGGCTGAGACTGAGGTCAGCCACGTGGGTGGTCAGCTGGGTCTGTGTGATTGAGCCCTGATAAAACCTGTGGACACCGGGGCTCATAGAGCTTCCCAAGTTGGCAGTACTTCCCACGTCTCATCACACGTCTTTCTGGGAGAAGTGTCCACATGACCCCACAGGGAGGGGACAATGGGAAGTTTGTGCCCGGTTCCTCTGCAGACTTAAGTCAGCTTCCTTTGCTGTAATAAATGGTAACTGTGAGTGTATCCACTTCAGTGGGTTCTATGAGTCCTTCTAGTGAATTACTGAACCTAAGGGAAGTTGGGGGCCTCAAACTTTGCAATAATTTAATATTCAGATGGTAAACAAAACAAAACAAAAAACAAACAAACAAACAAAAAACACCTCAAACCTTTGTAATGGAAAGTAGAGAAGGGGAAGTTTACCAAGCGGTGCTGCCTGGTGGGACGTGGAAGTGGGACAGGGACACGGGGACTCTCAGCTGGGCCATCTCGAGGGCTGAGAATTGCCCAGGGCCGGGAGCCCAAGGGGCCACTGAGTCTGAGATTAGAACCTTGGGTCCCTGTCAAAGACCTCAGACTAGAAGGGACTTCAAGGTCACCTAGACCAAATTCCAACTGGGGCTGAGCCCAGAATGCCCGGTCCACACACCCCACCAGGTTGTGCACCCTGCAACCCGGTTGGCCAGGCCACCGCTACCAGCTCCCCAGGGCCCTCTGCAAATATGGGACCCAAAGTGGGGCCTCACTCTTCTCACAGTTCCGGCCCTCGAAGGAAGGGAGGCAGAAGCAGATATAGGACTGGAGCTGGTCCTTGCAGGAGCCCCCATTCTGGCACGGATTTGAGGCACACTGGTCCCCATCTGTGGAATGGGCTGGCGTCAGTACGCTGAGGAGAAGGGTTGCAGGCAGGATTGCTGGCGATCATCTACTCACCACTGTAAGAAATCCAGAACAGCTTCTGAGGGAACAAAAGAGAAAGCCTCGTGAGCACCTTCACCAGCGCACCCAACGGTGAGCACTGGACAAACCACGAGCTGGGGTTGGGGAACTTGGACCTGGGCCTGGCGGGGTGGGCTCAGGAAGCCAGACTTTCCTGCAGAGCTGAGGTAGATTTCTTCCAATCTTGGCCCCTCCCCAGGACTTCTGAAACTATGGGTGACCACACATTTCCTGCTCCCAGGTCAGAACACCCGAGGTTCAGCCCTGACTCTTCTGTCACTGAGCTGTGGACCTGGGATGAGGTACACAGGCTTTGAGCCACAGCTCCATCTCTGACAGGGTGGCCACACACACCGGCTGACACCGGGAGAGGGTGCAGTAGCAGATGCAAAATCTTCCACAAACAGCAAAAGCACTCCACAGAAAAAAGTGATTGCTGAAGAAACTGTTGGCCACCTAAACTTAAACTCACAGGGTGCTGTGAGAATACAACAGATGAGAAATGCTTTGAAAACTAGGTGGATAAAAATGCTAGGCATGACCATCCTCAATTTGCCCGGAAAGGGTCATGTTAGCCTTTGTCTCAGACAGCTGGACTTCCTGTGAGTGTGAGGCTGCCTGTGAGCATGAGGTGTCCTGCGAATGTGAAGTGTCTTGTGCATATGAGATGTGGTTCTCTGTGACTGTGAGGCATCCTGCGTGAGACATCCTAAGAGTGTGAGGTGTGGCGACCTGAGTGTGAGATAATCTGAGTGTGAGGGGTCCTGTGAGAGTGAGACGATCTGTGTGAGGTGTGGTGACCTGTGAGTGTGAAGGGTGCCCTGAATGTGAGGTATCCTGTGAGAATGAAGTGATCTGTATGAGGTGCTCTGTGTGAGGTATGGTGACCTGTGGGAGTGAAGTGTGCCCTGTATGAGGTGTCCTGTGAGAGTGAGGTGTCCTGTGAGAGTGAGGTGCCCTGTGAGAGTGAGGTGATCTGTGAGTGGGAGGTGAGGTGTGATCTGTGAGTGAAGTGTGCCCTGTGTGATCTGTGAGGTGACCTGTGTGTGAGATGTCCTATGTGAGGTGACCTGTGAGAATGAAGTGTCCCCTGTGTGAGGTGATCGGTGTTGAGTGAGGTGATCTGTGAGTGTGAGGTGTCCTGTGTGAGGGAACCTGTGAGTGTGAAGTGTGGCCCTGTGGTGTTGAGCGTGATTCTGCTGTTCCTGGTTGTGTGAGGCTGACTGGTGTAGCGACGGTGTTTGTGTGGAGCGAAAGGTGATTTGGCTGTGAGGTGACTGGTTGGGGTGAGGTCAGAGTGTGACCGTGACGGTCTGAGTGTGTTAATGCGCATGCTGTGAGGGTGAGGATATCCTCCCGCCGTCTATGGTGAGCTGATGGTGTGGTACGGTGTGGTGCCTGTGAGGAGGGTCGTGGGGCCTTCGGGTGTGAGGTGAGCCTGCGACATCGTGAAAGTGTGGCCCTGTGTTGTGGCAGGTGACTGTGTGAACTCTGACGAGTTTGCATGTAACGTGTGTAACCGTGACGAGTGGTGAGGGGTCTGGTGTGCTGACCTCGGACCCATGCAGTGTGAAGGTGCATCCGCTGGAGTGTGAGGTGACCTGCTTGGTGAAGACCTGTCATGTGTGAGAAAGAGTGCCTGCCCTGTGTGTGAAGGTGACTGTGTGAGGGGGACCTGCTGTGAAGTGGTGCACGTTGTGTTGAGGTTGACCTGTGGTGACGGGTGTCCTGTGGTGGAGGGGACCTGTGGAGTGTGTGAGTGTACACTGCCGTAGGAGCGTGACTAGCGTGAGGCGGACCGTGCTGAGTTTGACTTAACCTGGTGGGAGGTGCCTGTGAGTGCTGAAGTGTGTCCTGGTTCCAAAGTGTCCTGTGAGAGTGAGCGTCGGACATCTTGGGAGGTGGATGAAGTGTCCTGTAAGAGTGAGGTGATCTGTGTGAGGTGTAATGACCTGTGAGTCTGAAGTGCACCCTGAGTGTGAGGTGTCCTGAGTGTGAAGTGTGCCCAGTGTGAGGTGTCGAATGTGAGGTGACCCGTGAGTGTGAAGTGTGCCCAGTGTGAGGTGTCGAATGTGAGGTGACCTGTGAGTGTGAAGTGTGCCCTGTGGGAGGTGTCTTGTGTGAGGCGTCCTGTGTGAGGTGTAATGACCTGTGAGTTTGAAGTGCACCCTGAGTGTAAGGTGTCCTGTGTGAGGTGACCCGTGAGTGTGAGGTGGAGAAAGCCCCAGGTCCCCACACGTTTTTTCTCCCCGACATGTGCCCTGCGGAGGTGCCGCTGGTGGCATGGTGTAGGCCGCGAGCAGCTCCCCCAGGCCAGCTTCTCACCATGTCCCTTCTGTGAGTCGCGCATCCGTGATGCGCAGACTGCCCCGGATCCTTAGGGGATTGGGGGGCCTCCCTTGGGAAGTTAAGGGGGACACCCTAGGTGTGCTTTTCAAATCGTATTTTCTGACGTGAAAACCGGCATGCGCGGTGTGGCCGCGTAGGGAGAGCCTGTGCCTGGTAGGGGACATGGGGAGAGGGAGGGGAATCGCCCAGGAAAGCGGAGTCACCCCAGGCGGAAAGCGACCCCCGCAGGAAGCGCAGTGCGGGCGCCGCTGCGTGTTCGCCGCTCACAGCCACAGCCGGAGAGACACAGGCGGCCCCACACGGCCTGGTCCAGCGCCGCCTGCAGTCTCAGCGGTGCGGGGCGCCCCGAGGCTGCGCTCACCGTCCTCTCCAGGTCCTTGAAGATCTCCCGGGCCTCCTCGAAGGAGCATTGCTCCTCCTTGCACTCCCTCTCCAGGGAGCCCGGCCGCAGCTCCTCCAGGAACGAGTTGGCGCGCCGCTGCCTGTGCAGGACGTCATGGGCTTCCTCCTGGGTTACGAAGACTGAAAAACGCGAGTTCCGTGAAACGCTCACCGCCTGCCGCGCCCAGTCCTCGGAGACCGCCCCACGGCCCTGCCCCACGCAGCGGGGGCATCGCAGTTTCCCGCCCCGTCCTGGGGGAAGGGAGCGGCGCTGCTCGCAGGCCTGGCTGGGCGTCCTCCCTGCGGTGCTCCTGGGGCGATCACCCCCCTCGCTCATCCTTCCCGGCCCGGCCTCTCCGCTTCCAGGGGCTGATCCCGAGGGCGCGCTCAGGGGCACGCGCGGAAGCTGGGCCGAAGGGGGCCGCGGGCGCCGCCGCATAAATGTGAGGCTGGGGGTTAACGCCGGCGAGGAGAAGGCGGCGCGGCCCGGGTGCTGGGCACCCGCCTGGGCCCACATGAACCGCGCGCCAAAGCCGCCTTGGCGGTGCACAGCCTCCCGCGGAAACCCAAATCCCTCGTCTCCATCCGCACCGCGTCTCCGGCGGCCAGATCTGCCTTCCCCAAGCCCCGCCCCAGGGCGAGGCAAGCCCGTGCGCTCAGCTCCGAGCAGGCCGTTCTTCAGGACGCCCTGCAGCTGAGGGTCCGAGGCGCGGCCCCTGCCCGGCTCCCCCGACACCGAGCCCCAGGCTTCCTCGCCGGCTCTGGGCGGTCCTGGGCTCCTGCCGCCTCCCCCTCCTCCGCTTGGGGCCCCTCTGTGCCCTGCGACCCCTCGGAGCGCCAGACCTCGCGCGGATCCTCCTGGGGCCGGTCCTGAGAGCAGAGCCCCCCGCTGCAGCTCCTGGCCTCTCCGTAACCCCGACGGTTACTTGTAGGCAAGTAGGACCCCCGCTTTGCCCATGGAAAACGGGGTCGGCGAGGGCCAAGGGCGCCCAGGGCGAGGCAAGCCCGTGCGCTCAGCTCTGAGCAGGCCGTTCTTCAGGACGCCTAGCAGCTGAGGGGACCGTCTCCCGGGAGCTGTGAGCTGTGGGCACCACGCGGTGGTGGACGAGGAGTGACCCCCGGGGCGGCCGCGCTGCCTGAACCCGCCTCAGCCCGCGAGGGGAGACTGGCCGGGCCGTGGGGCAGGCGGGAGAGGGAGGCCCGGGAGGAGGCCGAGAGGACGCGCGGGAGGGGCTCTGGAGAGGCCGCAGGAGGCGCGTTCGGGAGGGACGACCTTTGCTGGGAGGACGAGGCCTCAGGTGGACGCAGGTGGCAGGTGGGCAGGAGCGGCCTAAATCGGTTACTGAGCGCGGAAGAAGGGACGGAAGGTGGGTGCTACTGGGCCACGTGGGGCCGAGAGAAACGCCACCGTCTGTTTCCTTTAAAATCAGTTTCACACGTCCACGTCCCTAGAGAACCGGTCTGGTTTGGAAGGAGGCTGAGGATGCAGGCGGGGGTCACCAAAGAATCCAGGAGGTGGGAGCTCTTGGAGGCGGAGTCCTCAGGGGAGGTGCCCCGGGCAGCAGGAGTGGGAGGGGAGGCCCATGTCCCTGCAGTCCCCCGACATCCAGGCCCCTGGGACACTCACACTCCCGGGACACCCATGCCCCCAGGACACCCACACCCCCGGGACACCCACGCCCTGGGACACCCACACTCCCGGGACACCCGCTCCCGGGACACCCACACCCCGGGACACCCACACTCCCGGGACACCCACACTCCCGGGACACCCGCTCCCGGGACACCCACGCCCCCAAGCCACCCACGCCCCGGGACACCCACACTCCAGGGACACCCACGCCCCCGGGACACCCACACCCCTGGAGGCTGGCGTGAGCAGAGCCCCGACCGCCCTGGGATGAAAGCAGATTTGCATCAGAAAAGCTCTCAAGAACTCTGAAAGGCAACCTGATGAATACACAGATTGTCGGAAGGAACAGGATTTAACAAAGAATAAGGTCACCTGCACCCCAGTCCAAGGAAGGCTGAACTGAGGGGTCACTTCCTCTCTGAGCAGGGAACCCCGCTCCTGGGGCACGCAGTTAGCCCACCTCGCGGGGCCCTTGGGCTCCCTTGCCCATGGCAGGCCAGGATGTGATGTTGGCCCCAAACTGGGCCCCCGGACTAAACATGGGCACATTTTCCCTGCTCACCTCTGTGAGGCCCGGCCTTCCACCAGCCAGGTTCCGTGTTTCTCCTCCTGAGCTCAAGCCGACCCCACCTGGCAGGAGGTCGGGGGTCATAAAGCCATGTTGAGCGGGGCTTGCCAGCCCCACCATCTCAAGGCACCTCCCTCACAGCCACCTAAACTCGCCATCCACACGCCATCATGCCCATTCCCATCCAATGCCACACCCTGTACTCGCCCATCCCACGACCACTCACCATTCCCAGGCCAGCCACTGGCCATGCACCCCACAGTCCATTGCCACGCCACCACTCGCCATCCACGCCACCACCTTGCCATCCATGCCACCTCCACATCCTCACCATCACACCACCAACACTTTCCATTCCCATCCACACACCCACACACCCACCACAACCCCACCACACCCACACACCATGCCATTCCTGCACTCCACCACCGCCACTTCCAACCATCACACCACACACCTTCAGCACCACTCCGCACCACGCCATCCTCATACCCCACATACCGTTTCCCAGACGCCACCTCATGCCTCCTCCACACCACATCCCATCACCATCTCCCACACCACCCCCAATGCCCCATGCCCAGGCACATCAACACACATCCTTGTCCTCCCAGCCTGGGAAGCAGCCTGAGCACCTCCCAGACTCCCGTGGCTTGTCCAGCCTAACAGGCAGGGGCCCCAATGGGGGGCAAGAAAGCACCACCACATCCAAAGTCCTAAATAATCCCAACCAAGGCCGAGCTACTAAAAGGGCCTCCCCCTCCTGTGCCTGGATGCTGTTTCTGAAAGGAAAACAATTGAACAGAGAGCCACCAGAAAACCCTCCGGTGAATGGTGGGTGGGTCCAGAGCAAGGATGGGGTTTGGGAAGGCCCGGTCGGCTCTGATTTTGCCCATGCCCCTTCCACCAGTTTAAGG